AATTGTCGATACCTTCCCGACGTAATCTGATTTATTAAGCAAGACGATACCTGATCCCTTTTCCGATTTCGTGATGATAACTCCTTTGTTCTGTTGTACCTCTCTTAGCCTTTGTAGATGCTGTTCCGTTATTAATCCATTAGTCGATGTTTTGGCACTCTGATATTAATAACATGTGTTCACCAGAGTAGACTTCAGCTGTTCCGCTTCGAAACTAGATGAAGGATACAAGTCTACTCACTGAGCACACAGATTTTCAAACTCGACCTCCATATCTAATTGCTTGAATTTTCTCCCCGTTTGTATAGATTTACATCAGAAAAATTGTGGACGAATCTATCTGGATTCGTTGGGAACTCACTCATCGGTTTGACGGATTCAGGAGTTTCATGAGAAGGGCATACTTACGTTCCACTTGTTTTTGCACAATAGATTGAACGTAATCTTCAAATGTCTGTCTTTCAACCACCGAAAGTTTCTTAAGAACAGGCGATGAAATCACCAAGCTTCTTTCTAAATCCATTTGATGGTTGCACACCGTATCACGTTCATTGAGAGCTTGACGACGAAGCGCAACGTTAGAAACGTGTATACGATTCCGTCGCAGAATAATCCAGTACTGTTTCGGATAGTTTGAGTTGTCAACACAAAAATCCAGGAAATGAATACGAGTATTGGCCAATGCGAGTTTCGTACGGAACTTGATACAAACGTTTAGTTCCTTTAGTACGATGGGATCTTTGGCTTGTTTCAAATGTTTAAAAGGTCCCACGGAGCTCATAATGAGAACACAAATTGGCAAACAAGCTCGTTTTCAGTGAGTCTTAATCATGCCATTACAACACAATAAATATAACTAGTATCAATGCGAATAAACACCATCCAAGCCAACGCCACGTTTCTGCATAACTAATAACTTATAGAAGGAGAGAGATACTCGTAAGCGTTCACCCAGTTACTGCAAAGAGAATGTCCCTTCGATTGGTAATGAAACGTTTGGAACACAATTACCAGGATGGGGGAACAACTGCAAATCCATTGATAGTACCTGAGGTACAAAACTAACAATCAACACCGCTGTTTACCAAACTGTTGCGATAAATATTTCTCCAGCATTGGTCAATCAGGATCCGATACAGAACCACCGAGGCGTTCGAGATTACACAGATTACTGGATCACTGACCTTGAACTAGTCAATGACGCGAAAGTGCTCGAAGATCTGACCACTCTGCCCATAGTTCGCAATAGCCCCAAAATACACGGTTCGGAGTACGGCTCACACAACAATTTCAACATAACCTAAATATTTAAGATGCCTGTTAGTCCAGCAGATCAACCCGCTGCAATGGCGGAACGATAAAGTGTTGCTTACTTTAAGTAACTCGGATTCACTATCTTGACCCGCGGACAAATGCCATACGATACACCGACACGATCAACGAAGTTCGCTTCCCTGTATCTCGCTGCACCATGATAATGATGACACGATCCAAAAGTCCTGATGCCGGAACGAGGGGTTTCGAAACCTAATCTAGTGATTCCCATAGCAGTACACCCATTGGTACCATACGAATTTGAAACCCAGACATTGGTGGATATCAGACGATTTGAGATGTTTTAACACGGGTGTCCCAGATTCATCTTGGAGGTAAACGGGCGTGAAACAATCGCTAATTGGCTTCAGTACTGACGGGTCTTATTTGCCACGCAATATCACTATATTCAGATGCTTATAGCGTTTCGTACATACGACGCTCGCCAAAAAAAACCATCACATCTTGAGCACTGTCAACACTCGACCGTGACTACCTAATCAGGATTCTGAACCTGAGACGGATTTGCTCGTTAATCTCTTATTTGCGAGCTGGGGACGAGCCAGGAAGCATG